CCCCAAAACCCCAAAACCCCAAAACCCCAAAACCCCAAAACCCCTAAAGTTAAAATTAAATCTATCAAATGTTAAGTGAAAATGAGATAATTAACAGGCAAAAAGAGATGTAACTTATTATATTTATGGTTTGATTTTTTAGGCTTTTCAATAAAACTCTGATTGAATATTTCTTCCTTCCGAGAGATGATTTTTAGGGGATGTAGCTTCATCTTCATCAGTGAAATATGAACTCGTGCTCTCAAACTTGTTATCTTTTACTATCTTACTGAATTAGTCATTGCTTGCAATGCAATACTTATTCTTAGCACTAGTTCCTCCGAGACTTATTTACTGATTAGTATGCTGAGTATTTTATGTTATTTTTTGTTAAAGCTTTGAAAGCTTATCATTAAATCTTTCATTCTCTCTTCTGAACTCAGATGATTAAGAAGGTGGCTCATTATACTCTTAATTTGACACTGTAGCTCTGCTCTTGTGGCTTGATTTTTCAGTTAAGACTTAGGAGCTAGGATTACTGATTCTGTTTGTAGCATCTCCTAGCATTTTTGCCTAAGATACTTAATTTCCAGGTCTGACTGGTGTAAATAGAATCTAACTCTGATTGCATTAATTTCTTTCGTACATAAATAGTCTCTCCCTCAATCTTTCATTCTCCTCTCTTAGTATTTTATAATCTTCAGTCTGATCCTTCAAAGCAAGTGCTAGATCACTGTTCCTATCTACAAGTCTCTCTTTTTCTCTCTTTAATGTATCTATTTCTTTTCTCATAAATTCCTCATTCTGTATTAACTACATGCGCTCCATTTCTTTATTATTGACAACCTCATTTTAATAGATATCTAGTTGTTGTAAGATTTCCTAGAGACGGTCTTTAAGTTGATAGTTCTCATCATGCAAGTCTTTAAATGCTTTGTCTAATTTATTCAAAATAAATTGGATGTCATGCTAATAGTTATCATTTTGGCTGTCAAAGATTTAAGGAATCTCCTCACCTATAAGTTAAGAAAGCCCCGAAATAACTTCCTTTGCAATGAATTAGTTTTGCATAATGATCTACCTCAAATTGTCATTCTCTTAATCTAACTGCTCTGATCTCTTTTAAAGATGAGAAGATTTTTCAGACTTATTTTCTTTGATAGCATTCTCATACTTAGTAAACAGTCTTTTTGCCTTATCAAAAATAAAGTCACATAGAACCTCAAATGAGTACTTTTGCTTGATCTCTTTTTTCTCAAACAACTCAGCAACTTCAGTGATCCTTTATCTGATTTCCTCATGTTCATTTGCTTTTGCCTCCATTTCTTTCTCCAGAATCATAATTTTATCCAAGGACTCCTCCATTCCTCTGTGAGCATCTTTAACTTGCTACTCAAGATCCTCACATAACTAGAGTAGAGTCTTTCTTTCCTAGAGTAACTCCTCATTTTCTTACTGATATTATTATGCTGTCAAAGCCTTAGATTAGTCCTCTGGTTATGAGTATTTAAATTGAGGCTGATCATTAAACTTGACTATTTCTACCTCTCTTTGCAGAGAGACTATTTCTTTTAATTACTTCTCTGCAATTCTCTTAAGATCTAATACTATGTCACCATTTTCAGTTTCCCTAAGAACTGAATCTAACTCAGAGAGAGTAGTCTCATATTTATGAAGAGTCCTCTAGAGGATAGCATTATCTTGCATCAAAGACTCAGACTTGCTTACTTGCTGCAGTAGATGCTCATATAATTAGTTTATTTAACCGTTTCTTAGTAGATTATCTGCAGTTCTCTTCATTTGATAATTTTAATCATGCACATTCAATCCTTTTCTTAAATCATTTTCATTCTATTATTACTGAGGTTGTTATACCTAATGAATTGTCGTAATATCCACACCTCGTCTGCTAGCCATACTTTAATTAATCAATGATTTATTTCTCTCATTTTCAAATGAAATCAATAAAGCAATCTCATTGGCAAGAGTTACTAAAGATCTGAGCTCTATAACTTGCTCGTGAACTTCATTCATAAATTCATCTTCACATAACTGCTTTTGCATTGGAACATTAGAGTCAAATTTATCTATCTAAACTGCATCTTTCGACAACAAAGCCTTTGACTTGGAAAGTTCATGCTTCAATTTTGATATTGCTATGTTGATATCATAAATCAGATTCTTCCTTAAGACATCTACTTCGTTTCTATTCTAGATTTAATTGTACTTAGATTATTGAACTGAATCTTCAAGCGCGATTCTTAGTCTGAGAATTTCTTGGTTTTTCTCTTCGATAATCTTTTCTTTTTCTATAAGGTCCTTCTTGAATTTATCAAACTTAGTCTGAGTAGTTGCTATCATATCCTTGACTCTTTACTAATGATTGATACTGGTATTAAGATCACCTTACATTAGATCATTAGCACTTTGAACCTTATACATTGATGGATGCTCTTGCATTTAAATATACTAGGATGTCTAGTTCTATTAAATGAAAGTATTATTATGCTTTTAGCCATTATAAGTGAATGCCTCACTCTTGAAAGGACTTCTAGTCTAATCAAAACTTAAACACTGCTGATTATTGAACTATTATATACCTAGATTGTTACTGTTGTTATTATTGTTACGTCCATCAATGTCACGATGCGGACTGCTGAAGCTTTCTGCTGCCTGTCTGTTTGTTGGATTATTAGCCAAGATGTATTGATTTTACTGAAGTACACGTCTAGCATTAACATCTCTTAGTTCTCTCTTCAAGATTTCATTTTCGTCTCTCAAAAGTCCCATTTCAACATCAAAGTGCCTCTTAAGATAGTTCACCTCCTCTTCCAAAGTCTATATCTGCTTCTCCTTAATACTATCAAAGTTTTATTACTACTGCTATTGCTCTTAATACTTTCCTTCTAATCTATTGAAGTCATTCTTGAGTAGATTGTATAACTCTTCCTTCTATTGCAGTTCTTATTACATGCCTTAACTCAACTACTCAAGTTCTCTAATGTTATTTGTAAGTTCTCCAATTAATAGCTCCTAATCTTGTCTATACATAGTCTCCTCTTCTTGTTATCTCTCTTCAGTAAGATTTACATACTCCTAGAACTGATCTAATAGTGTTGCAAATTTAGCCTTAACTTAGTCATTTTCAGACTGAATTTAAGCCATTGTCTCACAAAGTTCCCGCTTGGACTATAGCATGTTTGCTTACTTAGCGACTAATTCCTTGTATTAAGTCTATACTTGATCTAAACTAGCTATCTTATTATCTCCCTCTTTTTGCAATTCATTCAAGGTATTTTCAGCCACTCTTGCTGCTTATATTTGGTTAGTCAACAGTTCTTCAAAATCAACTAGATTTTCTATATTATATTGATTAGTATTGCTATTTCCATCAATTGCAGATTTTTTCTTTTTAGATTTTGAGACTGTATTTTGTAATGATAGAGGGGTTCTAAGCAATTCATCATTATTCTGCTCATCTAAAACCATCTAAGCCTCTTCATAAATATCCTTCATAAATTGCAGTTTGTTCTTGAACTGAGATCGATGCTGAGATTTACTTCTAAACTGCTTCTACTCTGCTTTCGGCAATTTATTTACTTGCTATTACTTGTATAATGGTATCTCAATTGAGTGAGCCTGCATCATCTATTCACAAGACTACTGCAATGACTATATTTATTGCTCTTTCAAAATCATTTACTCATTTAATAAAGAGTTTTCTTTCCTAACTCTCTCTGCCTCTGATCCCTGGTTCTTTCTAATATGATCTAGCTATGTTTGCAGTTCATGAATCATATCTTATTTTAAATTAAGTTGATCTTCTCTTTGCTACAGTTCAAATTTAAGATCTTTTAATTCTTTGCTCAATTAATTCACAAGACCATCACTATGATTGACTCCTATTTGCATAGCCTTAGCATTTTAAATGCCGATATGTGGCTGGATCATATGAACTGAGCTGTTATGACTAGGTGGAGCAAGTACCATGCTATTATTAGACTATGCAGATTGGCGTTTGCTTTGCTCACCAAAAGAAGAGTAAGATAAGGGCTACTATTAATCAAACATTGATAAAGAACTCATATTAACTAGTTGAGCTGCTTATTAAGCCAATTAATTTTTAAGTGATTCCACCTCCTTTCTTAAGCAATCTATCTGCCTCATGTTGTAATCTTTTTCAATCCTTAAGGCTTTGATTTATTCGTCCTAATAAATGTTTTAATAAAGACGATAATAGATTTTAGAAAGAAATTTAGATTGTAAAATTTTGATGGCTTACTGATTTTTAAAGTGACATTCTAAGCAACGTGCAATCAGCCACAGCTTTTTCATTCATCATCATGGTGTAGTCGTTGTCAAGATTCGATGATTGTGAGTTTTAATATGCTTCAAATAAGAACTCTATTTGCTGCAGTAGAACCGATAGCACATCGATAGGCTAAATAAGATGTTAATACAATTATATGTAAAACTACCTTTGCTGATATTTGCTCAGCATTAAGTCGTGGGTACTGACAAAGTGACTGAGAAATTCGATTTTGTGTTTCGATGATCTGAGTGCTGAGGAGCAGCAACTCTTAATCGTTAGACATTTTATCTTAAAGTTAATTCATTAACGGACAAATATATAATTAACTCAAATTTCTACCTCTCAAACCCTATCTCTTCATATTATTCAGTGTGGGGTTTTGGGGTTTTGGGGTTTTGGGG